ATGATCAGCGTCAATACTTTTTGCGATATCCTATGTGAAGTCACAAAGCTATGCCTGCCATGGCACATGATAGTCGGATCGATAGCTCGGAAAACAAGAAACGGGAAATTTGTCTATTACAAAACCATTTTGGAAGGCTGCGACGTCTACCTGCGAATGAACGAAAGGGTACTCCATAAATGGTGATAATCATGCAACATTAGTAACTGTTTTCCGTCTTTTAGAACCCAAAAATTCTAGAGGCCATTTATAAGAACAGCGACTTATTAGAATCGGTTTTCCGGTTCATGGACAAAGACAGTTCAGGTAAGCTGGATTCTTAGCGATCAAGTAGGTTTTGAACGGAGCTCGATTTCCCTTTTTTGATGTACAATTTTTGTCCTAATTATTTGAGCGCACAGACATCTTCATTAATTATTCATATTAACTGGCTTCTAAGATCAGTTAACTAGTTAAAATATCAGGTTATTAGTTAATCTATGTTTGAACATGAAAGAACGCTGAGAAGCGTTTAAGCCTATGCATTTTCCTGTAACATCAGTAGCATGATCAGAGCATAGATTTCGAATATAGCAATAATTAACTAATTCAGAAGTAATAATTGATCCGCAATCAAAAACTTTTCTTGAATTCATTCCATATAGCTGCATACAAGTTTTCTGAACTTTCGAGTAATATTCCTCTGCTATTTTTCAGGATTCGCATTGTAGCGCCGTTCCCAGCCAAAAGGACAACTAAACAGCGCACCATTCCATAATAATATAGCAATTTCAGTGCATATGGGCGCAAAATAAGACCATTTAATATGTCGAACAGAAACATGTTTCAACACCAACGCACATACCTCGATCCATAGGTATATATAATACAAATTTCCCAGTTGCATGGGGGTTTGCTATAAACGGACAATAGCCCCTTTCACTTCTTCTGATTTGCATGGTGTTTCATTACACGTGGCTACGGATATACGAATGTGCCTTGGTGTTCGAACGTGTTTCTGTGGTGCTGTTTTGGGCCTATGCATTGCAACGCTATAATACCAACTGAGCATAGCCTGCTTAGACAATTCTACAGGTTGCTACAAACAAGAGCACAACGTAATCATTGTCATCACACCCTGTCAGTAAAAGGTATCCTTTTATGGTATCCTTTTATCCTTACCGGAGGCATCGAAAATATGCAGTTCGCTAATAAACCTATGATGTTCAGATGAATTTTTATTTTGACTACTCTCGATTTTGACTGGGGGAACAGTTACAGGTTTACTGCGAACAGAACACTTTCAAACCCAAATCATGAAGGAAGTTTTATCCTATTCCCTTAAATTAAAAATTCAACTGACTCTGCTTCTGTACAGTCAGCTGAGAAACGGGCAGAGTGCCACTGAGCTGAAAACAACAGCGGCAGTATGGCGCTCTTGTATTATCATGGCAGAAGGCGCGAGATGTATGCCACTGTTGCCCGATGCCTGCATTATACGACTGCAATTCGTCTTACCTATCTGACAGTTAACTAACGCTCAGCATATGGCAGAAATATTAAAACAAAAAAAATGAATTTGACTTGTACTAGATTGCTGCCTAATTTACTTCCGAGCTTTAAGTAAGGTCTTTCAATTGTTTTATATGCTAATATAGAATCACATATTTCAGATTCCAAAGGCTTTTTTTATAATTAGTAACTCTTTCTCAGGTATTCAATCTTCCTCTGATTTCTGAATATCTTATCATGGGCTGTAAATGCCGTTTTTGGCGATTTTAATTCCTCTGTTCAGAGTCAACGACATGAGATACTGAATCGTTTATATTAGCTAAAGGATGCTCCTCGTAAGTTTCGCGGTGAGAACAGCGTTGTATGAATTACGTCAAAAGTTTGTTAGTTTTAAAATTGTGCCTAAATTTAAGATGCAAAAGTGTTGGCTAAATTACACTACGCAAGTCACTGATAATCACCTTCTTTTAGGATACATCACATTGGACGAATTTGAAGACACTTGCCTGCTGCTCAACAAGTATTCAAATTCCCAACTAACGAAAAGCGCGATTCGAAGCATCGCAAATACGATGGATATCAACAAAGACGGCTCGATAGATCTCAACGAGTTTTTCGAGGCGTTTAGAATGGCAAACGTCAATATCTGACAGCTCGAAAATCAACGCGCGGAACGACGAAAAAGTGCTTCCTTTCACTACCTGCATTTCATGCCGCATAACCTGCCAATATTTCCGGCGGTGCCGTTCCGAAATCCCTTAATTATTAGTTGATGATGCATATAAGAACAAACCGAAACCTGATAATCAGCAGTAGAGCCTAAAGAACATGGAAAATATTTTCGATATGGAAAAGTGAATTATTAATCGTGGCCGTAAATAATGTGATATCTGTTGATATATTTTAAGCGATTGTACAGTTTTCAATTCAGCATACATGTAATACATATTATACGGCGTATATAAATTAAAATTTACGATAGATATGCAACGTGTAGTGACCAAAGAAAGTCGACAATTGCACGTTCACTGTTTGAACACGGTCAATAAGGAATATATCTTTCAGCATAAATAATCCAGAAACATGTAGAAATTAGTCAACAAGTAAACGGCAATAAAACTGGAACAAAGGAACAAAACTATAAAAATGAAATAATAATACTGTAAATAAAGCTAATTTTTTTGGAGTGAGCAAAAGCCTACAAACTCTTTTGCTTAACGCTTAGTTGTGCTTTTGTTAAAAACATCCAGCTCGCTCTTCAATCCTGTTGGTATTTAATGCCCCTCGTGTCAGCAGTCAACAAAGAAACGATGGATCCATAAGATTTTTCCTGATTTCCATGAAAGATGAAACTCTGCAGTAGTTTCCTAAAGCATTGCCAAGTCTGAATCTGTCAGGGTTTTTTTCAGATCTGCAACATCTCCCATGATGAAATCTGGTGCTGCCAATCATGGTAAATTGTTGTTTCGAAAGTCCTTCTGATAGTACAGAGTGCGGCATTTGTTTCGACATTCATCATGGACGTGAAAACTGATTTTCCATGCAGACAACAGTGTTTTTCGGTGGAAAAAATCAAAACTCTTGTCGAAATTCATAATGAACATGCATCACTCCTCTATTATATACCAGTTAGTTTCGGAATGATGTTGAGTATCGTCTTGCTTTCGTTTCCTCTTTGTTCTAGGCACTACTGGTAACTCAGAACCGATCTACGGTAACTTATAAATATCATGGTTTTATTTCTTTGGACAAAGGACAAAATAAAGCGTTAGTCTGACCGTAGATGTAGCTTCATAGCTTTTCTGAAGAAATGCGAAGATGAACGTTTGACATTGACGCTTTGGTTTTCAGGCTTTAAGCATTGAAATGGGGCCCTAGATCACGGACGCCATTTTAAAAATTTTGTCAGCAGAAACGCTTCCCTTCCGGATCCAATAAGTGACTTCATATGGCGCTAACGTCAATAAATGGAGGATTTAGAGATTATACAAGCGGACGCACCTGCGAATCTGTCGCAATGCTGATTTTTACCGTAGCACTGAACTCGGTGAGACCTGGGATGCTCATCTGATATGTTTCCGCTAGCGAAGATTCCAGTAGGAACCTCGTACACTCTGCACTCTTGTGTGATGACTACATGTCAATGATGGCTGTCATTGAGTCTTATTTTCTCTGCTAACTGACTTCCATACTAATCTAGTCACACCAGAGAATGTCATACACGACATTGAGGACTTTGTATGCTCCAAGTTTAGAGTCAGAAATGGTTAAAGGTCTATTTTTTTCATGTTGTCATATGTAACTACACCACTAGATAGTCTCCGCGATGGGAAAATTAGTTTACTGAACATTAGGGTTCGATACTTTCACGTCTGCTATTATATTTAATGCCAAGCGAACTGTATAACACAGCAAGTAGCTAGATTAAATTTGCCGACAACTTGGTAATTGCAGCTATTAAGACGCCAGAAAATATCAACCACTATCGCGCTAAAGTGAATATGTTAGAACATCGTGATTGCAATCTTACCGCATCCCGTACTTAAACAATTTTGCCAAATGTCTGTCAGAATTCGGGAAATTTATTCACAGCACTTTTTCCGCTGTATGATACGCACCGTTACTATGAAACAGAAAACTTGTATCAATCGACTTGTCAAAGCATCTTTACGTTACGCTTACGACAGACCCAAAATGATATCATTACAAACCCACGATTGTTAAGAATGCTTGAATGAAAATGCGTTGGAATGAATTATCTTAAAACAGTGAGCAAAATCAAACTTCTTGTAGGATTTCTCTCCTTCCAACATTCAGGAGCGGTTTGGTTGAGTCAAGTTAAACTTCCGACATTGCCTATTGATTGGGGGGCACATAAAAAATAAATTAGAAATTATCTTCTGTTCTGATTTTGGCCAGTGTTGTTGAGTCATTGATTGGAAAGAAGTCGCTGAACTGCAATGTGTAGCTTTCAACACATACGAAATTGCAATTTACACGGAACAGCCGCAGAGTGCTGCAAATTTTCATTGGTTAGACGTTTAATTCCTGTCAAAATAACGCCGATGTTCTGGAGTAGCTTTCTGTACCGCCGTTAAATATATAACATTAAAAACATTGATAAGGTTTATTGATAAAGCCAAATTCTATTTTTAGACGGGCAGATTATTTTCTTGAGTCGGTTCGTTACTGATTGAAGCCCTAATGCTGCCGAATACAAGGTTTCGAATAGTTTTGCAGCTTTTACAAGAGAACGAATGTTCCAGCATGCAACACAAAACATACTTCTTGTAGTACATTACTTACAATTCAAATGCCTGGTTTCTCGGCTTTTAGCCATTGGGTTTATTACGAAAGTGAATTCCTAATTGTGGCACTCACTTTCGTCAGAGCAACTAGTTTCATCACTGCTTTCCAAAAATCAATCCGACAAGATGTGGATAATCTTACTGCCTGTATGACGTGTTAAATGAAAGGTAGAAGTTAAGTTAGTTTAAAGCCGTCGAAGAAATTTATGATTGCGGAAAATTTCAATCTGACGAGAATAAAAACACCCGCCAACTGTAAGTGCAACCAGCATAAGAATGTGTACAGTATCCAAAATTTTCTCCAGTTGTCTAACCACTAAGCCTTCATTTAGTTTGCGTATTTCTATTTTTATCTGTGCTAACAAGCAAGATTCTTAGCTATACTTTTACTTCGCTAAAATTTGGCATGAGAAAGTAAATTGTATAAAGTCTAAATTACGTTTTAGTAAAACTTGAAAATCGCAATTAATAAGTTGTTTTGCTGTAGTGCTTCCTCTGTGTGTGTTTCCGTTTGGTTGAGCTTTATTACTTTATTTCTGTTTATTTTCAGCTGGTTTACTTTGCATTGCGTATGGAAAGAGAAATTGTTCCAGGAAGGCTCAAGCTGAAAAAGCCGATAAAAAAATCAAAGAAAAAGATCAACGATGTGGCTAAAGTTTCGGTTGCTGCCGTAGCTCCAACCGGCAGAGTTGTTGAACCGGTTGTGCGAAAAACTAAGAGTGAAATAGCTTTCGAACAGAGGTGGAAGGAGCTTCAGGTACTGTGAAGTTTGTAAGTTTCTTCGAGTAATAATATTGTTTTGTATCTGTTGTTACATTATGTCCCCTTTTATAAAGTTCCATCCGTCTCGATCTGCAACGCGGGAATTTCATTTATTTAAAACTTATGCAATGTAAACCTGGCCATTCCTGAGAGTTTCAGAGTGTTTCTTGTTGCACATTAGAACTGAAGTGAAACATGACCATGCCTCAACTACGCTCTTCAACACATTTTGATAAGTTTCTCTCTGTTCAGTAAGTGATGCCTCAGTTTTAGCTCCATATCAGAAAATAGCTTCATCTAATGTTTTTCACTAGGCCAAAGATTTATAATACAATACGGTTATTTCGTTACTGCTCCTTCTTGTCAGTTTCTCTCTCTTAGCTCGAATAGTAAAAAAAAATATTCCTTTTCACCTGTTTGCTGTTATTATAATAGCTCGACTATATCGCTCCTCCAAAATCAGATTTCAAGGTGTATTGCACGGCCTCCTTACTCCTAGTTGGCTGAAGGAAGGGACTACTTTATCAGGCCACGGCTCTATGGCGTTTGATTGATCACCATCAGTGCTAAATGAACCTCCCATCATTTTTTGAGCAGGAGCCACTTCGCGCTCAAAATGCTTCAGGACCTGGTAATTTTTATATGCTACTGAGTAAACATCAAAATATATCAGATTACAAATGAGTCCTCCAAGGCCCCGTTGTATGTTTTGTGCATGCTTTTGTTCGTCTTGTTCCCATAGGCGTTTAGGTTCATTAAATTTAAGCAAGTTTCTGTTTGTGTATGTGCTGAAAGCAAGTTTTTGGTTGTTGAAGTTGTTTATGTCTTCACTGAGGTATCAGAGTTAAAGACCGAGTGCCCACATTAATTATATCTAATGTTTCCGCTTCTCTTCGTAATGATTTAGGCGAAGTCTGTTTCTGCGGCAAAGGTCATATTGCTCGTCACAAGCGCGTCTGTCTCTAGCAGCTGCTTTAAGAGGTGCGATGTTGGCCTCCAATGCGTCTGCAGCTATTTTTCGCTTACCACAGTTCATTGCCTGTCAGGATGGTTCTGTCAAACCACGACAAACACCAGTCCTTGATTTCTTCAGACAGCATTCCCAGGCCGAGTCAGTCATCTCCAAGATCTTGTCGGAAATTCGATGAAACCATCACATTTTC